CAACTACAACAAGTTCTACATATAGAAATCTGATCTTATCTCTCACTGCTGACTGCAAATTGTCAGGCAACACTGAAAAAAAACTAAGTCTTTCTAAGTATTTTGTTTCTAGTGCAAATATCTTAATAGACTTGCAAGACAATAAAACTAACAAGTAACTTTTTGAACAAGATACAGGTTGTTTTAAGTCAATAATTCCTGAATATTAATGAAAATTCCAGTTCCACTAACAGTTTTGACAAGACATTTTTCCCATGTCATAAATGAAAGAATTACCAGTGGAATTAGTACTTTTTAATATATATTCAAGAATTATTCACTTAAAAAAAGTTAATTCTAAGTTATTTTTGTCTTATTTATAGTGCACTAAGATATTTGAACTGTAAACCAGACCAAAAATACGTAGTAAGATTTTGTGTTTCTGCAGTGAAACAGTCACAGATACCTTTCACAAGTAAGTCACAATAGCTGTTAGTTAAAGATGTTTTTTGTTCACATAGAGTTACATTGGGATATAAAAATGTAAAGTTCAGTGGAAGGAAAAGTTATGGCAGAGAAATGTAGACAAGCAACAGCATATCTGTGGCTTCTGGGGGGCTTATCAAACTATTATAGAAATAATTGACCTTCTTGATATTTATTGAGATGTGATTTTTCTTGACTTACTCTTTGCCTTTCACGTTTCCTCCTTTTGGACTTCCTTTTCTCTCGGGTCTTTTTGTATCTTTTCCTTGCATGTCTCCGTGCCTTTTCCTCTTTCTCCTTATTTTTCTCCTTTTCTTTCTCTTTCTCGTCATCCTTTACCTCAACAGCCTCTTTGTTCTCCTCCACAATCTCAATTCCCTCATCATCTATTTCTCCATCTTCCAGTTCACCGTCCTCCCTAAGAGGAAGAAAAACTTTACATTAATGCACAGATTATTTTAAATAGAAATATCTATATGTATTTTTTTCAAGTCATAAGTATAGTCAGCCTCTCATACACCCTAAATATTTTTTTTTTTTGGCAAATTAGACAGAATAAAAATGTAATATGATAAGAAACATGATTAAATACACTCATCACCTTCAGCTGGACAAACAATTATGTCAAATTTTACTTCACCTCTAAGATTTTGCGCACCCAAAACAGCTTATGACTGTTTAAATTTTATCTTTAAATTAACCCATCATTTGTCATCAGTAGCTGCTTTATTGAAGGTTGGATAATGTTCTACAAGTTTGCAGAGGTTAACTTATTAAAAGTAACAAACTGACATATTTTAATAACTAAAGTTGTGAAAATGTGTGATTCACAGGACGAAATTATAAAAACTGCAAAACTAAAAAAAACAATTATTAACAGCAAAAGAATAGTGCATGAAGATATAAAAATGTTTATTACTATTATTATTTGGGTACAGTTTTATATCAGTGTGGGATATGTTCAATTTTCTTGGTTTTAATGTATTTTCATAACATGTCATCTGATTTAAAAAATATAATCCAGGTGGGAAAGAACTACTAAAACAGCTTATTGTATATTTAAGCCTGGATTTAGATAACAGTTTCCTCTCACATGACTGCAGACTAAAACAATTATAAAAACTTCAACTTTTCTCAGGAAAAGGCACACATTTTGCTAGTTATATAGGTATTTTGTGTCAATTAAAAAAATAATAATAACGTGTACAAGACACATAACCAAACTATTCAAACAAAATATTTGGATCCTTTAACACTTCTTCGGAAAAATGTAAGAACGTGTCCAATTACAAAAAAATGTATAAATATAGAGTAATGCACTCCTGAGTGTTGAACTGAATGAAAATTACAGCAAGATCCAAAAGATATTTAAATTGGACTTAGATGTGAATTAAAGATGGTTCAAGAAAGAAATAAAATTTTAAAACAAGTAGTAACATAACAAGGTATGTTTATCTAAGTACGTTCAAGGTAAAAGCCAGCTGAAAGATGCTAAAAGAAGTCTCCCAAAGCCCTAAAAGTTCATCACGTTGATATAAAACTGTATGTCAACAATCAGAAAGAAGACATGTAGGCCAGACTACAGCCACAGAGAAGACCGAATTATTTAGCAAAATTATTCAGACACCAGAGCATAGGACATGTTTTGAATAAACTGCAAACATCATTCAAGGAAGAGAATGTCAGATTGACTGTGAAGCACAGAGCTGGAAGTGTCATGGTTTGGACATGTTTTGTTTCAGTAGAACCTGGCCATCAACATACAATGAACTCTAACTTGTATCAGGAAGATAGATTAACTCTATGACTGAATATATTATTTCAAGAATAATTGTTGCCTTTCTGTATAAAAATGAAACCAATCAAATTAGATGTCATTTTTAATTTTTTGGTGCAAATACTGCAGTATTGCACTCAAGGTTATCCTACTATAACAATCTCATAGGGTCATGTCTTAATCTAAAGTAAATATTGGGATTCTTATTTAAATAAGCATATCTCTAGATAACTATAAATTTTATAGCTCATTAATACTTCAGTAATTAATGACTAGACTCTGAGCTGAGAACTTTTAGTCAAACTTAGTGGCTGCAAATTAATTGCTAATTATTTTGAATCCCATTTTCGATAGACTAAATGGGCACAAAATCACATATACCTCAAAGTAAGACTAATCCTTCATCATATGCACATGGTTAGTTCCTTGCTCAAAGTTTTTAAAACAATTCAAAGTTTGAAAAAAAAAACAGTAAGAGTATAAAGGCCTGGACATTGAAGAAACAAATGTCAAGCTTGTATGAACCGTTTTGGACCAGTTCTAGCAGGTGGCCGCCAGGGGGAGTGTGTCAACACGATGGGCGTGGCGCCTACGTCATTAGTTATTTGCATAATACCCTACAGATGGCAACAACAGCTCTATGATTCCCAGCAGCATAACAACAGGACGATGAGGTCTGCCACCTCGCATGAAAATGATAATGAATCATCGGCACGATGATGAAAAATATAGGCCGCTTGCACATATATGCACCAAAAAGACATGCAAAAAGTAAATTTAGAGGGGGAGGAACCTTAGAAATGTCTGCAAAAAAAGCAATACAAGCATGTAGACTCACAGCACTGAATCGCACAGATGAGCGTATTAAGAATTGCATTAAGAATATTACTCGACCTTTCATCCCCTGCAAGCTCAGAATCTGTCATGTTTTTGTCAAGAACAGGGGCTGGGGGACTGGAAACAAGGCTCACAGAAGCCATTTGGAGAGAAAGAGAGAAAGAAAAAATAATAAAAAATAACGGATCTGCTTCTCCTTCTCCCCCGGTAACAAGAGTGAATTATAACACGGTCACTCAAAGGAGACGGTTGGTTTGTGAGAGATGCTGGAAGATTTCAGACTGGAAAAGACTCACGGTGTTACATGTCTCGACAGAGACAGTAAACAGACACTCTCCTCTTTCATTTTCAGTGGCGTTTTAACCCTGTGAGCACAGCTCGACACCCCGCTTTGCTAATGTCCCGTCGGTTGACAGCTGCCACGGTGAAAATAGAGGAGACGGAGGGAGAAACAGACAGGAATGTAAACCATGTTCGCTGGTTTCAGCATCCTCACAGGCTTTTTCAACAAGGGATATCATCACAAAATGGCTTCTGAGTTATGCTGCACATTCCTCGACAATGACTCCTCCGCCCATTTATAGGTGGGGCACATCTACCTAACTTGGAAACAGCAACTCTCGCTCAGCAATTGGTTAAAAATGGCACGAGTAGAGAAATCGGCTTTTCTGATTGGCTCGTAGAAATGTCACTCAATTTCAACACGTTCGCTGTAAAAATCACCATTAGTGTTTCCATCGCAGATGTTTATTGCTTTAGATGTTAGCTATATACATCTAAAACTCTCAATTGAATGTATAAAACTGCTAACCATGGTTTTTTTACTTATCGCCTTATCGGCAACACCGTATGTCTCCGCTAGTCCGTGGCGAAGTCGACTACAGACCATTTGCTTTGTTACGCCGTAAAAAAAGATACGTCGACGTGTCCGCCATATTGTGAGTGGCAAGTTCGATATGGAAAACCAGTGCAAGCATTGTTGGGAACTGGATTTTCGAAATAAAAGAATTCATTCAACTACCTCTGATGTGTTGATTTGTATTCATTTGGTTCATTTTGGTGTCATACTATGTCATCACTGAGACATAGTATCGAGAAAATAAAATAACATAAGGTGATTAAAATATACGGACATTATTTTACCCCTGGAAATATCCAAAGAAATGTGAAACCTTAAAATCTTGTTTTTCCAAATAACAATAATAATAGTAGGCTAATAATAATAATAATAACAACAACAATAATAGTAGTAGTAGTAGTAGTAGTAGTAGTAGTAGTAAAAATAAAAATACTTAATTTTTATGTTTGTAATATTTATTGTTCATACTACAGTCTTATTTAATCTTATTTTATTATTATTTACTGTAATTTTATTATTATTATTATTATTATTATTATTATTATTATTATTATTATTATTATTATTTATACTAGTAATAATTTCTACAAGTATTTCAGAAAGTATGTTTCATTTCACGGCGAGTTAAGTTTCTATTTGCCATATTATGCCTTGCAATACCAAAATTGACCAGCAGGTGTCACAAAAACCTTGAGATTAAAAAGAAAATCGCTTATGCAGAGTCAACACACTGACATTCATGCTGAATTTTAATGCTAAACTGAATACAATTCGGTATTTAAGATATGGTATATGTACAAAATTATTCGAGTCATTCACTCTTCAAAATAAAAAAAAATATATATGTTCTTCACTCATTGTCATATCAACTCGTGGGAATTATTTTTATTTATTGTAGCTGTAGTTTATTAAACTATTTTTTCCTGTAGGTGTTAAAGAAATGTAAGAATGAGAAAGTGCACAAAGTGCCTGGGTGGGAGGGATTCCAGCCGCAGCAAACCAATGCATCCTGCAGAGCTCAGAGAGGCTGGGTTAAACTTTCCAAGAGTTCAGGCGGAGAGAAAAGCGCATCTCCGTTTCGGGTACCTGATGAGCATCGCCTCAGACACGACCCGACCTTCCGACTTTGCTTTATGGGGATTTGTTCAAGCACAATAAAAAACGGAAGCCTGACAAACATTTGAAGGGATACCAACTCGACCGCTGGTGTTTCAGAAATGGCTTTGTCTCTCCGAAGCAGGTGTTTGGTTTTGCTGTGCTTGACAGCTGTTCACTGCGGCCATGCAGCTCTTCAGGTAGGAAAAATTTAGTCAGCTTTATGTCTGAAGAATCTGTATAAACAATTCTGATACAATGCATGTCTGCCAAACACCTCTGATATAATACACCACCTCACAAAATTATATTTTTTGAACTCTCTTCCACATACATTCTTTATGATAAACCAGTGCAACATACATACAAAGTAGCAAGAAAATGATACGTTCCCCCCACCTCTTCCATAAATAATCATTTGAAAAGTTTGGCACATGCTTTTATTAAGCCCTCCAGTCCTGCACATTTTGTTACTTCTGCAAATCCTTTGGCATTGATTTATTTGTGCCTTTTGAAAGACATGAATACATTGAGATTATAACTACTGCACTGTAGCTCAGGCTACAGTGCAGTAGTTATAATCTCAGGGTCTTTGTTCTGCTAAAAGACAAAACTTGACCCCGGCCTTCACCATCACTCTGTATTTTTCTTCATCTACCCACTCCAATCAATTTCCCCATCCTTGCTGTAGAACCCCACAGCATGATGCTACTACCATCACTATGTTTCACTTGTGGGATGGTGTGTTTGAGAAAATATGAGTTGACTTTCTGGACCTAAATTTTTTTGATGTTCTCTATTGTACTCTGACAGACTGTGAGGTGTTTACTGATTTTGAGAAATAAATACTGAGAATGAATTACATGCACTTTGAAGCATGGCGCTCTGCAGGTTTAGTGCGCTTTTGGAGACAAACGACAGCCCAAAAAATAGATGTATGAATTGATTTATTCACAGATGGACTCTGAAGGTACTTGGTTGAAGTGGTGCTTATTTAGAAGGTCTGAACACAAATAAATGTCATACTTTTCTGAATTTTATTTGGAAAACATTTGGAAAAACATTTAGTGCTGCTCTTCCACTTCACAATTTCGTCCAACTTTGTTTTGGTCTACAAACGAAGTTTGTAGACCAAACACACTGCAGTTTGTTTTGTGGATGTTACTGTATTTATTGTTAAATATATTTCACAAACTATTCTCATATCTCAGTGGTCTTGTTCATTTTGTTTTCCGACTTGCATCAGCCGCTGTAAGGCACGTTGGCTGTGTCACTTCTGTGATCGTATTTTACAGTTTTCACTATTGGAAAACGACTTTATGCTGTTTGAAAAAAGAGAAAAAAAAGAAAAGAAAAAGTTACATCTGGATGTGAATCTTCCCATGTCTTGTCAGCTGGTGGCATTTCCTCTTTGCCTGCAGCAGGTAAAATAAGCACAGGCCAGACTCTGAGCTGCACTTCTAATGTACTGAGACTAATTGCAATTGTACAAAGCCTCCCTATGCTAGCGGAGGAATTTAAGGTATGCTGCAAGGGGAAATTGTCCCAGTGAGCTTGTGATTAACAACCCTACTGAAAGGATTAAAGGCACTTTCTTTGAGGAATTCTATAAAGGCATTTTTTTCTCCAAAGCGACTGTGGCACCCGTGCTATTTTCGAGCTGGATTGTCCAATGAACTTGTACCTTTACCTGCGGTAAAAAAACATTTTTTTAAAAAGGCACAGAAACAACATTTTGGACTTAAGTTTCCTCTGACATCTGCCAGACATCTTTAGTCCAGCTGCGTCTGCCACTGGGGTTGTGGTAATGGAAGCGAAAGGAGGTGTGGGGAGTCAGAAACCCCACAGCTGAGATGGCTCAGCTGTGGGGTCTAAAATCAAACCATCAACCACAACAAAAATATGTCATTAATATGACATATTTCTAATAGTTCTAATTACACGGAAAACAGTTTGTTACCATGGGAGTTCTGTTCCATGCTAACATATTTTTATTACAAATGGCCTCATCCTTCACATCTGGATGACGCTGTTTATTCACCACTCATGTTTTGCCACCATTAAACTGAGGTAACCTCTACCCTCATGCCTCCATTGCATTCAAAGATTTTCTTTCCTGCCAAGACTCCTTTTTACTGCTAGCTCGGCTCATGGCCCATCACGTTTTACCAGCAGTCCTGCATGGATAAGCACCAGGTGGTGGGAGTGCTGCGTCAGATGGAGAAGTTCTTGAAAGGCCAGGAGATCCGGTTCACAGAAGGTCTCCGGATCATGAAGTCAAAGCTGGCGTCGCTTCAGAACTCCGTCTCCAAGTTACCTCAAGCTGATCAGTCAGCTGGTGAGTAAAAACAGATCATCACCAGGATTATTGTTAGAGGTTCCTGTGTTGACAAAAACTTCAAGAAAACCTGATTTTATTCAGTTTATTTAAATATCCTTGATTAGACTGAATTATTATTTATGCTAAAATATGATGTGGCATGATTTGTACAAAAGACCAAAAAAAGACAACATGAATTTCTTGGTATGTTTGCTGAATGCACTGTTTATTTTTCTTGCCAAAGTTGTTTTCATTTTGGATCCATATCAAGATCATGAATGTCCTCAAAGGTTTGGTTGTTATATTGATAAAACCTGTTAAACTGTCAAAATATGACTAAAGAGCTCTCTCTGCATTCATACTTAAAACAAAATAATATTGGACATCTTTACAAGTTGACAATAGACCTTTTTCACGGCAACCGGAAGCTGTATCTGATAGGGCTGCGGCACTTCCTTTTTTGGTGACTGTAATTCAAGTACTCTGAAAATGGCTCTCCTCCTCTGGTCCTTTTCATCGTCCTTACTTAATTTGCCAGCCCTTTGCCAGAGCAACTTCTGTGCAGTCCAAGATGACACGGACATTTGGAGAGAACTTCAGAAATTTCTGAGGCAAACTGGCTTTTACCTTCTCACGACTAATCCACAGGTTGATGGAAGAGAACACAATGAAGAGGTAGTTGGCCCAGCTGATGGTCACTCGGCTGACAGTAGCTATGCTGACTTGAAACATGTCAGCAATGAGCTGCTCCTTCATGCCCACAGCAACCTTGAATGAGTACATCAGAAGCTGGCTTCAGCACATGCTTCCTCTCCAAGTTTCTGTGCGCTGGTCCAGTACACCAGGCGTGATGCAGAGGGTGCAATGGACTCCCAGAAGATCAGAAAAAACACATTCAGATGGAAATTTGGTGTAGAACCGGATCTGGTCATCAGAGGCACAGTAGCGGCTAAAAAGTGTGGCAGACAAATCCACTTTTTGAAGTCTGGCCTCCAACTCCTTAATATAATCCAGAGCTTCATCAAGTGCACCTGTAAAACCACAAAATAAAATGGAAAAACATACGGTTAGCAATAAGTTTTAATTATATATTTGAAACATTACTTCTGTGAAAATCAATACATGTTGTAAGTCAGAGCATGTATGTAGACAGCCATTGACTTAATCTCTCCACAAAATACATAACCACATAATCTCAATTTCATTATTATGTGATAATAATAATAATAATAATAATAATAATAATAATAATAATAATAATAATTTTAATAATAATAATATTATAGCAACAGTTATATTTTACTGAAATTCTCTTACATGGAAAATATATACAATGTACTATCTTTTACCTGCGGGTGGTTGTGCCGTGTAGTCATGGTCTGCAGTAGCATCTTCAGCCTGGGTAGCTTTCTGAGAAGGCAAGCTGCCGTTTCTTAGCCCTCTCGAAATCAGACTCTCTCATTGCCGGTGCAGTGAAGTTATTCCAGGCAAACAGGGACGGAACAGCTCCACTTTTAAGGCGGCTGGTGGTGGATCCGCAAACAAAATCCTCCTGTGTGAAGTGGCGGCTACATACGAAAGTGCTCCCCGTCTTTATGCAAAAGTCCGGACCTTCATCTCTTCGGATCGCCTGGATCCACTGCCTGCATTGGTTCGGGTCCGTCGGGAACGCATGATAAGGCTGTTTTCTTGCCCCACATGAACAAGTTCAGGGACTGAACAAAAACAACTGCGCCGAGACTGAGCCATTTTACTAGCCTTTTAATGCTAACGCTATAGCCACCGGAAGTTGTCCAAACCCACATCCGCTTTATAAAACCCGGTGCGGTTGTGCCCCGGCCCCGCGCATGCGCACAACCACCCTGGCCCCGCGCATGCGTACAACCGCCCGGGCCCCGCGCATGCGTACAACCGCCCGGGCCCCGCGCATGCGCACAACCGCTTGGGCCCCGCGCATGCGTACAACCGCCCGGGCCCCGCGCATGCGGACAACCACCCTGGCCCCGCGCATGCGTACAACCGCCCGGGCCCCGCGCATGCGCACAACCGCTTGGGCACCGCGCATGCGTACAACCGCCCGGGCCCCGCGCATGCGCACAAGCACCCTGGCCTCGCGCATGCGCACAACCGCTTGGGCCCTGCGCACGCGCACAACCGCTCGGGCCCTGCGCATGCGTACAACCGCCCGGGCCCCGCGCATGCGCACAACCACCCTGGCCTCGCGCATGCGCACAACCACCCTGGCCTTGCGCATGCGTACAACTGCTTGGGCCCGCGCATGCGTACAATGGCAGAGACCTTTTTCCCGGCAACTTGAAGCTGTATCTGAAAGGGCTGCGGCACTTCCTGTTTTGGTGACTGTAATTCAAGTACCTTGAAAATGGTTCTCCTCCTCCGGTCCTTTTCATCGTCCTTACTTAATTTGCCAGCCCTTTCTTTCGCTGATGCGGAGGAAATCGCAGCGGTTCATTCATCCACCAACAAACGTGTGAAAGGATACAAGTTCTTCCACGAAAAATATATCCACCGCTATCAAGGTAAGAAAAGACGTAGCTTAGCGAGCTAACCGCTAGCTACAATATATGAACTACACAAACTGCAGAAATGATCAGGATAGGATTAATGAGAAAAGCAGCCAACAGGCCCATAGGAAGGAGCCGCAAAGATTGACGGTTATGGAGGAACGTCCACAAATCTGACCTAAATTCACGGAAAAGTGATGACAAGAAAGCCACTTGGAAGAAGTTGCTTTTGCAAAAATAAGATCAAAATTAAAATATTTTACGAAGAGCCATATTTAGCATAGCATATCAGCCTGAACAACTATGCCAGAATCTTGCTATGCGGTGCACTTGAAGGAGATGGTGTTAAAATTATAGCTGTAATTGTAGAGAAAAAAATAGCTGTACAAATGCACATTATAATTCTTTGACTATTACCCAAAAAATCTGACTTTGTAGTTCTAACGTGACAAAAAGTGAAAAAGTTTGAGGGGTCTGGTACTTTTACAAATTCCTGGATATGTGCTCTGTCTGAGGATTTCAGTGAAGGACGGTCAAGTGGAGGAAAACCGAATACCCCAAAGTATCGGGTTTACAATATTTTGGAAAAACTCGCAAGTTGAATTTGATCTTCAAACGAGGTTTCACTGAGTGAGTGACAACAGAAAGCCAGATGAAGCTTTCTGTGCTGTTGTATAATGGAGTCATCCTGCAGTTCAAGACTTTCTCAGTTGCAGAGCTTGTTACTTGACAGGGGAAGTGGATTTGTGGAATTGTGTTGCTTGGCGGCAGACTCCGGGACAAATTTGTTCGTGATGGACCCTCCGGCTCATAACTCTCTGAAGAGTGCTGCACAAGGCAGGAAGACACTGGTATTTTATAGAGAGCAGTAAGACCTCAATAAAGACTCACAGAAACCTCAAAAAAACATATAAATGTTGCATTTACACGTTCACAAGCCAGCTTCATTTTCCCATGGAACATATTAGACTAAGGAACGACCTCCAGATTTTACATATTGAAGTTGGATTAATAAGGAGTAATAATATAGTGAATATGGCTCTACTTTGAAATCCTTTATTGTTTTTCACAACAACAGTTGAAGAATTTTGTAGCTGAATATTTTTAGCTACTCTGCTAAAGATAAGTAAAGTAGAAAGCCTCTAAACAAATCTTATCCCTATTAATGTTTTGTGAAAAGCTCTTTTGGCCGCAGGACAACACTTAAGTCTTCTACACTATTTCACAAGGTTGGAGCACACACAGAGCAAGACATTTTTTAACTTTCCTCCTTTAAAAAAATCTCTCGATCATATAGAATTAGGAGTTTATGAATTTCTCTACTCAGCTAACTCCACAATTTTCCACAGAAAATGTTATGCCTGCTGAACCACTTCTGTAGAAGAACAATTTTCATTTTTTCAGCCCTATACTCCGATATTTGAAGTGTAAATGTGATTTTGTTTCAAACACATTATGATGCTGCGGGTTTCTGAGGCCCACAGTACCACAGATCCTCCACCTTACAAAACAGTGGTCGTAAAGGGCTTTAAGGAAAACCACCAGCTTGTTAATGAAAAATTAAATCTTAACGTCATCTGAAGGAAACACACAACCAGTGAAATTCCCAGTAGAGTTTTCAAACTGTTTTCTTTTGTGATGGTAGGACAGGAAAGTCAGTTTTCTGGTTTGTATGTAGATGACATTGAGTAGATGTTGTAGGGACCACAATTTTTTTTTCAGTGGGGGTTAACAAGAGCATTATTATTAACCCAAATTAATTATTGCAACAACTGCAGATATGGGTTCATTTAGGTGAGTTTTAAATTAATTTTAGTCTGCCTTACTTTACTAGTATGATCTGCTGTATTTTTCTGTTTTAAAGAGTGGCTATAAAATCTGTTTTATATAATATTTAGACCATAGGGAATCAGTTTGTGGTTACTAGTTTATATTCTGATCAATTTAGAAAAGAATAAATGAAGATTATTCATTTAAATTTTTTACAAGAATATGTTAGCCAATAAAGGTTAATATAAACTAAAAATTTTTTTTGTGGTTTTCCTGTAAATAAATTTACACAAACTGAAAGTTTTTCAGTGCTTCCACAAATGAAAGTGATCTAACTATAAGGTTGTTTTCACTTCTTCTTTACTAAAAGCACCAATACGTGTAAAGAGTGTGCTGACAACCGGATTAATAGTTCATATAACGTGATGTAACGTGATGATATGTTTCTGTTTCCAATACATAAACATGCAACATGTTCAGAGAAGGGTTTAGCAGGGTAAACTCGTCCTGTTGTTGACCTAAAACTATGGTTTGGACTTCGCCAGCATTTGGGTAAAAGTCAGCTGGCTAAGTTTTCTTTTTGAAATCACAAAAAAGAAAAAGAAGAAAAACACTTGGAGGAAGAATAGAAAGTCTCATTAAAGCCCCCCAAAATTTTTTTCCAGTAACCAGTCTTACATAATGTGATTATTATTCAACTTTTAAAGCATAATAAATGAAATACATTCTGACTTGTAGGGGTTTACTGACCCATAACAGAGGCTGATCCTGCGCTGGTTGACTGTAAATGAGGCATTTGAACATTTGTTTCCCATGAAGGCTCCACAATGCCCAGTGGCATTCCTCTGGCGAAGAATGCCAGAGGATGCTGGGAGGCTTTCTCCACATGTGACCCTCCTTCCTCTCCTTCTTTCCCCCACAGCTCCGGCCACCTGCCCCTCCCTGGACGCCCCGGCTCATGGAACAAAGTTCGGTTCGAAGCATTTCGTCGGACACGAAGTCCATTTCGTTTGTTCGCAGGGGTACCAGCTTCTCGGTTCTTCTACGCGGGTTTGTCGTGACAACGGCACCTGGTCTGGCGTCAGTGCAGTTTGTAAAGGTGAGCAGCATCTCAACCAAACTTTTAAAAATTCATGTCATCCTGAGTACACTAAAGCTACTTTAGATTGCCCATATCTTACATGTCCTACAGGGTTTCCTTCGCAAGATTTCCCCCAGAAAACTTGCTGAGCTCCGTGTTGGGGCACCAGGGCAGTCATTCATCCAGCAGCCCGTCATGTTTTTGAGTTCAAAATTGTTTAAAGTTGACAGGAAATTTGAAAATACCACTTGATAATCATGTGTTATTGAAAGATTGGACGATTAACACCTGAACACCAACTACAAAAGCTTTAAAAAATATTTTTAAGACTTAAATAAATAAGCAATGCTTAGCCTGGTGGCCTGTCAGGCTTATAATACACTAGAGGAAACCCTGCTAATATATGACTAAAGTCTACCAAAGCTCTTGAAATACATTATTTGACAGTCTAGTGTTTTGAGGTGCCAATTCAAGATTATACGGCATCTTGCCTCCGATTTCAAAACCATCTGCAAGTTACAATTCACTCATAAGGTGCTGAGAGAAACTTCAACTCAAAGACCAAACAGCTGTTCACAGATGAGAGAAAGAAAATATAAATCTTCAGAGTGACTTTGGTGACCTGAATGAAGCACTTGTTAAATTGGGATTAAATGTCTCTGAACACAGAAAAACACCTGTACTACATTCCACTGTGGGGTGCCTTCCCCTGTTTCTCTTCTTCATTACCATCAGAGCCTGGGCTACTGTAAGATAAACCACCAGCTCCCCTCCCTGCTGCTCATGTTTCTCCGGTTCTTTGTCAGCGCTCCATAGATGGGGCTCAGGCCAACCATTATAACCAGCAGTGTCTTTTAGTGCAGAAATATGTTAGGCATGCTACTGATAGTCATTTCAGCCTAAACTGATGGCGAGCTATCCAAAAATATTCAAAGTCGAACATGAAGATGAATTTATTGACTTTTCTGGCTAAAGCAACACCATGGGGCTTTACTCCGCACAGTAGAGGATTCCTGCTCAGCAAAAGAGGCCCCGGTTTGCTCATTCTCCAAAAAAGCAATGACAGAGGGTGAAAAACCTGAATACTAAAAGCAGTTTAAAAATATCTGAGTGCGGCTTGTATTTTCATGACACAGTCCAGTGGTAAGCACTGGAGAAGCCAAATAAAAATGAAAGAAGCTGCTTGCCATTTGGTTTATAGCTTAAAGGGTAGCAGCTGCTTTGTATTTTCTCCATCTACTCAGTTCTGAGAGCTAATAAGAGGGAAAAAATTATAAGGCTTACTATACTATTTGACCATTTTTTCTGTGCATAGGTAACAGTGAGAAGAATAAGTGTTGTCGCCTGTAAGAATATGGCTTTAATCATCCCAGAGCAGGAACCTGAAGCATTTCAGCAGCAGACGTAGTGACAAACAAATCAGAGGAGTTAAAACATTGAATAAAATATATCAATCTATTAATCCATTTTCAACACATTCCTAATCCTTGTGGGTTTTAAGCAGTGGTGGTTTCTACCTTCAGTATCGCTAAAGACAGGTGTGAATGTATGCATGTCTGCAGAGGGCCAATAAAAAGCAGACTTTTTTGTGTTTTTTTTTTTAAATGAAATGATGTTTTCTTTTCCTCTGCAGATATAAGCGAGTGTTCAAGTAACCCCTGCCAGAATGGAGGTACGTGTGTGGAAGGTGTCAACCAGTACAAATGCACCTGCCCCCAGAACTGGAGCGGCTCTCACTGCCAGCACCAAACCCAGACTGGTCAGTAACCAGATGTTGCTTGGTTTGTTTGCAGCTGCATGTCTGCAAATTCGATCTGACTTTTAAACCACGTCCCCTCCCTGACGCAGCACCGCCCGAGTGGAGCGTTATGAACGACCCGGCGTTCAGTCGGCGACCTCGCTGCGCCCAAGTCAACCAAGCCCAACACTGCAGCTGTGATGCAGGCTTCCACATGAGTGGCACGTCTGACAACAGTATCTGTCAAGGTGAGCTGTAATTATGTGCTAAATTAATTAATCCCTGTGGGGAAATTCTCCTTCGGATAGTCGTTCCCTCAGGGATGTGAGGTCAGCCACAGAGCAGCTCCCTGTGGCTGCATGGCTGGCTGCAAGTAGCAGATGTTGTGCAGACTTTACAGCAGAAAATATCACTGAAGGCTCAGTTTATTTTCCCTCCTTTGCAATGTGTGAAGCTGTTCTGTGGCAAACAAAATAATCCCCTTGAACAGCCAAAAGCTGATTAGCATACATTTAGGTCAGAGTTTAGTTGTTTATGTTTCTACAGCTAGAGTAATATTGTGAAAGTGGAGGGATTTAACTTAAAAGAATCAGAGTAACTCTAACTATTGTTTCTCTGCAGACGTCAATGAATGCGAAGTGTATCGGTTGGACCAAGGAGGGAAACTGTGTGTCCACGAGTGTGTGAACGTCCCCGGCTCATACCACTGCTCCTGTCCCAGCGGTTACAAGTTACTTCCAGATGGGCGGAGCTGTGAAGGTGAGTGACAGGGTGGAGCTGAGGACAAAGGCTCATTGACGGGGCTTTGGCTGCAGACCCGTGGAGGTATGCCTGTCCACCAAGCATGATATCTGTGTTTTAGTAAGACAAGAAGTCCTCAACAGAAGAGATTTTCTGCTTTCCACAAAGGTGTCTGTCTCAGGCCTTGCTCTGGCTTTTATATTTCAACCCTGAAGGTAATGGTGCCTCACAGCTGGAAAAAATGACCTCACGCTTTTTCCTTCACAAGGCCATTCAACGAAGACTAAACTTAAAACCCAAATAGGGTGCAGCACTCCACCCCCACCCCAATGTCCACACTGTGGTAACCATGAATCAGGGAGTCGGTCTTTTGCCACTGCTGTGTTGTCTCTTCCAGATGTGGACGAGTGTTTGAGCCAGAAGCATAACTGCAGCAGAGGGACATCTTGCATCAACACTGGGGGAGGCTTTCGTTGTGTCAACCCCGAGTGTCCCCGTTCCCACGGCAACATCAGCTACGTCAAGACATCTCCTTTGTAAGTGGGCACAACCCAAAGAGGATGGTTTGTTTTAACGTGTGGTTTTTTTAATCAAAATAAATGAATATTAAAGGATTATATACAGATGAAACCAGATATTTACATACACCCAATAAAGACAGGAAGACAAACACAAAATCTTACCAAGTATTTTTCATCTAATTTGTAACAGAAGCGACAGAGATCAATAGCTCTTTTGGGAACATCAGTCAATCATCTAATTGGAATTTATCATGACAACAATAACTCAGAATTGTTATCATGATAAGAAATGTATCATAATAAATGAAAAACGATACAATTCCGGTCCACCCCGAGTTAAAACTGTACTTTATGTCTTCGACCTGCACTAAACTTTTTTTTATTACTGAAAGAACGAGATGACGTAAGAAAATGTGAGTGGACACATTTTGTCTCTTGTGCTGCAGTCAGTGTGAGAGGAACCCCTGCCCCATGGACAGCCGCTCCTGCCATCTGGCTCCTAAGACCATGTCCTTCCACTACCTGTCGCTGCCCTCCACGCTGCAGACCCCCGCCACGCTGTTCCGCATGGCGACCGCCGCCGCCCCCGGCCGCACCGGCCCAGACAGCCTTCGCTTCGGCATAGCGGGCGGGAACTCCAGAGGCACCTTCGTCATGCAGCGCTCAGACAGGCAGACCGGTGAGCTGATTCTGGTGCAGCAGCTCCGCGGGCCTCAGGAGGTCAGTGTGGACGTGGAGATGTCCGAGTACGCCGACCGCAGCTTTCAGGCCAAGCACGTGGCGAGGGTCCACGTTCTGGTTTCGCCGTACAGTTTCTGAACCTGGAGGAGATGAAGAGCTCAGACTGAAGCCTGTACAGGAACAAAGAAGAGTGCACAAAGGCCACTGAGGGGAAAGAGAAAATGTTGCAAACCGTCACAGATTTCTATCCAGTCTGCTTTACTTATGATGCCAGGGTCTTAAACAGTGCTGTTTAAAAGCATAAATTTCTCAAAAGATAATTTGAGTCCATACAAAATGTAGTTCTAAAACAAGCATTTCATTTATTAAAGGTGAAAAAGCCACCTGCCTAGTTCTATGTGCAGTAAAAGCATTACTCCTCTCGGCAACTGTAATGAGAGCCAATATTCGCAAATGGAGAAAACATGCACCAGAGTGAACCTTTTAAAATTATACTTGGGGAGCAATAGACACTCAGAGTATCCATTAGTAAGAGGCTGGGTAAAACAAGGCATCCTGTGGGATGTTCCAAAGCCAAAACTATTGTGGACCAAAAAAGAGCACAACTATTCACATTTGTTTAAAATAATCAATTTTGATGACCACCTCGACATTTATGAAAATTTGGGATACACTTTTAAATCGGCCCCAATTTCCTTAATTTTGGGAGATCAGCGATGGGCTGACATTTAAATGAGAAACAGATTTTATCAACCAATCTTATCTACCTCGGCGACGGTACGGCCCCCTGTTGCTCTGCAGTGAGAGACTATTGCCAGATAATTGGCTGTGTTGCTATAGTTAGCAACTTTCTAGACAAAATAAATTGTAGCAGTCAAAATCAGAAACAGCAGGTAAGGCTTTCTATGGATTGTGGTTGATGATCGGCCAGAAAACTGCAATCGGTGCAGTATTTTGTACACTGCTTAAACATAATTGGAACTTTTGAATAGGTGTGCGTTGTGATACATTTGGTATGAAACAAAATCAGCTTTTTAGAAAAAAAAAACAGTCGAGCTGACAGACATATTGGTGGTAGTGTGATGTTGTGGGCTGCTCTGCTGCTGCAGGACCTGCATGACTTAGTTCAATTAATTGAACCATAAATTCTGCTCTCAACCTGCAGCAAGAAAAAGATGTGGAGGGATGACTTTGAAAAGGGGAATGTATGCTGGAAAACCTGCAATATGGCTGAAGAAGAAAAATTCTGCCAGGGAAAAATCTCATTGCCTGTCATCACAAACCTTTGATCCCCAACATTGGCACAGCGAGTTATTAGGCTCAGGGACGCAATTACTTTTTCACGCTCGGCCAGCTTGGTTTGGATGGCTTTTTTTCCTTTGATGAATGAAAAAACTGCATTTTATGTTTTGCCAAATGCAAAATACTTTTTCACAGCACAGTTTATGAAGTGTGGTTCTGTATGACAGCGTGTGCTGCAACTTTTAAATGCATCTCTGCTTCAAAACTCACCTGAGTCATATAATGATGTCATCAGCATCAGGATGAACTCACTGCCTTCTGAGGAGGAGATTCAGTCGTTTGATTCAGGGGCCACCATGGAAAAAAACAGATGATCTAACTTTAAAAAGTTTCTCTGGTAGAGGGTCTCATACATAAACATCCTCACCTGGCATTAGTGCTTGTGTGGCTCTAATTTATTGGCAATATTGTTGCTGGATTTAAAAGTGTAACATATTATGTGCAAGTCATATCATATACTGTATATTTGTGATTTTGTTTTGTTCCAGCTTGCACTCATCTTCTGCCAACAGCTGCTGCAGCATTTATCTCTCTGTCATTGTCTGCATGTTATGCAGAAATACTGTTTTCACAATGCAGCTGAATTTGGCGCATTTACTTACATACTTGCTTGTCATTTTGAATAACTCCAACATTACTGCAATAAAGCCAGTCCAGGGTTTCAGCATGCATTAACAGAACCTTTCTTGATGCTGGACAGAGGGCTATTAAATGTCCTCTTGGCGGTATCTGTTTCATTCAGCTGCCACCGGGGAGTGAATTTTAATGAGTGAAACCCAAATCTGTGTATAGCTGATAAATGAAGGCTGGATGTGCTGCAAAAGCCTTTTGTTGATGAAAGGATGAAAGACTGGAGAAGAATGTGCGTTCAATAATCTAACCCATGCAGGAAAAAAAGAAAACTCCTTGGCGATTGCAAGCCAAAGCATTTCCCAAATGTCTTGGAAGGGGAAAAGACGACTCTCACACTATTTTTATTTGACATAAGTAGAACGAACACCAACTGTCACATCTTAAAAACATATCTCACCGCGTATTTTGATCAGGAGGGGGAGAGAAAATGGACTAATGCTCGCCATGTGTCCTCCTCCTCCTCGCGTGTCTCCGTCCTGGTGTTGACGCAGCAACGAAGGAGGCCGATCAGAACGTCAAAACACGCGTCCCAAAGAAACGATGCACTCTGCTCCTCTGATGACTGCGCGCCTCAGTGTCAGTGGTAACATTTTTTATTTGATTTGATTTTATACTTGGTGCTCTGTTTCAGTCGAACGGACATTACAACTGGAGTGCAGTTTAACGTTTTATCACGTTAGGTTGGGATGTTCACTGTTTGAAGGGAAACGGGAAGCTGAAGCCTGGCGTAACGCTAAACGACATGTTTGCAAAAGCAGCCAATCCTGACGCGCCGTTCATTTTGGCTGAAGCTCCACGTGAGTTTCACTGGTTGTGCTGAAAAGATTTAAAAGTACGCGATTTAATTCATATTAAGGTTTATTTGGTGCTTGAACAAGTAACATGTCCAGTTATTTTCAGAGGGGGTCTCATGCATTTGTGGATTTAAGCTGTTTGATAAAAAAAAAAAAAGAAAGAAAGCTTGCAGATGTAATGGTGCGCTTCAGTTGTGGTCTGTACTCGGGAATTCAGTCTTCCCAGTATTTTGATGATGCCATCATGCAGCACGCTTCAGTTCCTGCATCTTTGCTTGGTGGTTCCTTAATGTCTCATTTGGTTTTTGGGGAGTTGCAGATTCAGTAGGATGGTTTGAATCTTGGCCATAATTAGGTGTCCCAGCAGAAGAACGATGCCAAACATACCTTAAAGCCGGTTTTGGAAAAGAAAATGGGGGATAATCTTAAACTCAAAAGACTTTCCCAAAATCCGCGACCTCAACCCTTGGACAAATCTCAAAAGCTGGGTTCTTACAAGGAAACCAGCCTATATAAGTGAGCTTTACAATCTCTCATAAGACGTTGAGCCAGAATTGTGAAAGAAGTGTGTTGATGGCAACAAAAACAATGTGGTGAAACCAAATATTTGTGGGTGGTTTAAATTTTCTGCAGTATGTGTAAGAGAAAATTCACAACAGATTCAAAATCTTGTTTCTGTTAATAGGTAATACAAATCCACTGCAAAAAGGGAAGAAATGCCTTAATAAAAAACAAAAAAAGAAATAGTCAAGTCAGTTTGAGATTATGGAAACTTATCAAAATTATAACCATTACCTTAAAGTGCAACTAAAGCCCCAAATCAACTTTTTTTTGCTCATTAACTATCCAAATAGGTTATTTAGGGTACCGGTACTATTTTTATGTTTCAGTGAATATTTTTGTCATTTTGATTTAAACTTTAGCTGAATTCTGCTATTTCTTTAAAATGGTACCAGTGAAATTGCAAATGATAAAACGTGCTCCTGAATTGAAATAATATTTATTAAGTGCATTTTACAGTTTGAAAAAAAAAAAAGGAAACCCTTGATATTGCGGGGTTGAATTGCAATACTTCAGGTTGATTTCAGAAAGGAAAACTACAAGAAAGATGAGTTTTCTTGTCCAAACACTTCCCACTTGTGGAATCATAAAAGAAGAAGAAGAAAAAAACAGAACTGAGCCAAAACCCGCCTGTACAAATAATCCGAGGTCAGATTCAGGTGTCTGCAGTTTTAAATAACAGGACAATTTGCCATCATAAGCACAAATATTTCCAGGTTTCCTACCAATACAAAAAAAAAAAAAATGCAATGAGGACTTTATAAACCCATTCAAGTGGCCACCTAGTGCTCACTCATAATGTGTGATGACATCGCCAAGACAAACATAACAAGCTCTGCTGTTAGATTTAGACGACGTGCAGACAAATATACCAAACAGGCAGGTCATTTGAAAAGAAAGTCAGAAAGAATAAGACTGAGACAACATGTTTGGTACTAAGGTTTCTGTGAATGCAATTATTTTATCAGTAATTAACACAAACATTGCAAAGAAAAAACCTGCAGAGTAAAGAATATTTTAGGACAGTGCAGAGCATACGGAAGCATACATCATAACACACGTTACAGTAAACATGGGGAAAACGCAAACAATAAACGCATAAGTACACTTGAAACACAAATAAATAATGAAAAAAAATCACCAAACTTTGTATTAACAGAGATACAGCATATTGCTCCACATCTCATGCTCCCACCCACACAGTAGTTTCAAAACATTAACTCTAATTCGACACGTCTCGACTAACCCAGCGACAATTAAATTTATGCAAATCCTTAATTTCTCTTCTTTCTCTCACACACATTCACTAACCCTCGGGATGTTGGGTCTTTTCAATCTGAGACACAAAAATATCCTTTCACTCAAGTTGTTCTCAGAAACCCATCTAACGAGGCCTGACAAATAAAAGACAGACACTTAGGCACAGCTTTGATCCTGAAAGTGCATCAGAGCAAAAAATCTATGCAAAATTACCATTTTGCAGTTTTCAAAGTCGTTTTTATATCCGGTAAAAACAGGATGCTTAGGACCCTCCAGATTTATGCAAAACGGATTTCCCCGACTAATACAAACATCGGCAAGTTTTGATATAAACCAAAATCCTGATTTGATGTTAAGTATTGACTATAGTGTACTTAATCTGTCTTGCGGCTGTAAAATTAACTTCCATTTATCATTTTTTAATTACATATTGGGAGAAAAAAATTCTTTCAGATATTTTGAAGAGTTAAATCTTATCATCCTATCTTATATTTGAGAGTACGTTTATCCATGGTGAGGCTCTCTCCAGTAAAATACATCTATAGCGTACAACAGAAATAAATATTGAACAGGAAATACTCTCTCTTTGGAAAGCTGAAAACTGGTGGGAAAAAAAATATTAAAGTGAATCTTTTGGTCTGTAAAAAGACAAGAAATGTTTCTTTCTGGTAGACAAGGTAAGAAAAACATGGAAAGTAGCTTCCCACCAAAACTGTTGCCTACACAACTCTGTGAGGTAGCAGCTACTAAAGAGGATGCCCTGAAAAAAAAAATAGAAAAGAATAAAAGAAATAAAATAATGGCACTCCACCACTGACCACTAGAAAAATCCAGGTGTAAACTGCTTCAGTGTCAGGAGCAACTGCTGTGCTGCTGGAGGTTGTCTGCATCACTCCAGCTTCGACATCTCGTACTTTGTCGTCATGATTTCCTGGAAAATAAAATGCAGCAATAATTTTTATAACTTGGCTTGTTTTTTTTTTATTGTATTCATTCAAACCAATCATCTGAGGCTCAAAACCCAAACTGATAAAACGGCAGTAGAAATTTTCTGCAGATTAGATGACAAGGGAGAGTGCAGTTGCGTGTCTCCTTTAGTGGTTTCAATCTTGATCAAAGTTTTTCATACCTCATCAGAGTCGAGCAGGACTGGAAGGGCTCTGTGGGGATGAAATGAGAAGCACACTGTTACAATCACACAGGCCTCAAGTGTAAAAATAAATTAAGAAGAAGACGAGAATAATTCACTGCACTTCTAAGGATGCTTACACATCAGTAAGAGAGCTTGGAATGTTGTCCTCCACCCACTTCAAGTCTTCATCCTGAGCAAGTAAGAAAAACAAAGAATCAGAGCAAATACTGCCACCTGCTGATGCAACACACACTGAAAGACTTTTATTCTAAACTTTGCTCCTATATTATTAAGTTATTATTAAAGGAAGATGCTGAATAAACAAGACATAATAAAGTGAACGTTGCAGCGTCACTCACTGGGTTTGTTTCCGGAGGCTTCGCCGTGCCGTTTGTCTCAACCTTGGATGATCTCAACTTTATGCCATCGGCTACAATTTTAGGAGAGAAATCAATCAACAAATGTTTACACACCTTTCGGATAAAGCTGCTATGATAAAACCGCACCAATGTTTGAAGACGCGATGAACTCCTCAATCTCCTCGTCTTCAGAGTCATCCATGAGAGGCGTGAACGCATACCTGTTGGAAAAGGAATAATAATTAATGCGGCTGATAAATTAGTTAAGGGTAGTTTAACAACCTGCCTGAACTGCTTCTTACCTTTGGTTGTTTGCGGACGGCCGCCATAAAAACATTATGACGAGCAGAACAAAGGAGAACAAGAATCTCCAGAAAGCGTCCTCGACCCAAACCTCGACCCAGTCCTAAGAATTCAAATGTAGAGATTTAAAAAGAACTAAATAAATGAGCAAAAGCCACAGATGTACAACTGGAAAAGAAACAAAGTATGCTTACAGACTGGCAATCTGCCAAGTGCAACTTTTTAGCAGACCAAGCCATAAAGATGATAGAGGCTGAAAGGGAAAGACGACGGTGAGAAACGGCATTGTGTGATTTTTCATTTCAGGTTTTTGTTTTTTCATTTAATAAACGTACTCAAAGGTTGTTGTTATTTTTCCAAACACAAACCTGGTTGGCATGGTAACTTTGCTTTATCACAGGTGTATAAGGACAGGTGCGGGACTCACCAATGACGGCGAATATTAGCGTGTTTGTAAAGTGCCTGTAGAGCGACAGCTTCACAGGGTTTCTCCTCAGCTTCAGAGTCTTGATGGTTTGGGCTAAGCTGACAAAGATGTGGCAGTGGTAGTCAAGGGAAACAAACAACTGGCATCACATGGAAACCAAAGCAAAACACAAAAGGTCCATCTGATATGACTCTA